GGTCCGGGCTGTCCCCGGCGCCGCTGGGTCGCCTCACGCGTTCCACCTGGTGTGGAGCATCACGGCGACCCCAGCGCAGGGAGAAGTTCTGGCAGGAGAGGGGGCGGCCGGGGCCACTTCTCTGCTCGGATCGAGTCGGGGCCCTGGCCCAGCGGCTTGGAGGTGGGGCGAGCCAGCGGCTTGGAGGTGGGTCGAGCCGGACGGCCAGGCGTGTGCCCTCGGGTCATGTCCCTCTGGCTCCTGGTGGCAGCGTTTGGGGTCACCGCGCCTGGCCTGCCCTGGCCTGGCACGTTGGTCTGCACAGCAGCATCAGACCTGCCGGCACCTGGTGCACAGGGGTGTCCGGTGCTACCGTTAAGATAAAAAAACAGTAAAACCACAATTGAGTCACGTTACCGTTGTCAGTAAGAGAAGTGATTACACTCTGGCGTTATTCCCAGGGAAACAGTTTTTAGTTCAAGCAAAACTAGCAAAACTCATTAGGTGATCTCAAGCATCCCAGCGGCTACCGTTGAGTAAGGTGGAGGAGACTTTTGTACAGGCTCAGCATTCAAAAGCTAACCGACACCAGGCCTGATGTGACATGGCAATTGTATAGTCCTATTACTTAGCAGCAGTTTGAGCATGCTGATGCACACGTCAACTGTGCTTGCCTTCTGGCCTGGAGAAGTATGCCCATATCCTTACATTGGCATTCCCAGGTGAAGAGACTAAGCAGTGCCACTCAGCAAGGACGAGGCCCATCATTCCTCTTGCCCCACCAGCCAGGAGACAGGATATCTGGGCTCGGACATACCTTGCTCAGTAATGTCTCCCAAGCTAGACCTGATTCATGTCTGTGCTCAATCTGAGTCTGCCAGAGTTCTTGTCAGACCCAGCTCCTGTTATCTCAGATACTTGTTTCAATTCCTGCTTACATACTAAGTTCATTAAGCCAGCCTTTCCTGTCCTCTTGTATTTGTAAGCCATCTCCGCTTGGATCAAGGTGAATCTCAAACTTCTACCAACTGCCCTTGCGGTTTTGTAGAATACAACTAGGGGTTCATAGAGCATTGCAGCTACTGAAAAATTAAGGGGGGGAAGAGGGCATAAAAGCATTTCTTGCCTTAGTAGGCAATTATGACATTCAAGAAATAAAGATCTGGATGGTTGGTAGTAGACCTGTGCTTCTCATGTAGTGCCACTACTTTATTCATTGTTATATTTGCACAAACATGAAAATTTGAGGTAGTGGAACAGCAGGTTGCTTCAGCTGCTCTCACTGCAGCTCCATTAGCACCAGCCATAGTGAACTGGAACTTGAGGGGAAGGTAGACTCTCCATTACAGATTAACTGGCAGTGTTGGTTCACTGCCAAATCTGAAATTGCAAGAATATATTGAGTGTCAACACTATGTGAACGTATATTCCAAGAAATACCATGGCCTATAAATTGACCCCTGTTTATCACAGTGTAATGAGTTACAACTGATGAACTGTTAATTGTAAAAGAAGATATCTTTATTATATCATTTTATGTAATTCATAGGTGAATGTATGCAGAAGTGTTCTTCATCAGTGCTCAGAGCACAATGCTTTCAATGTGCCAAATTAATTTCCTGTTTGAATGCCACAGAACTCCTAGTAAAAGTCAGCTTCATTTGTTACTAGAACTTCTTTCTGCTTTCTACCTAGATTGTACCTGATAAAGTGTTATGTCAAATCACCTCTTTAAACATCTATATCAGCTTGTGATAGCTGAATTGCTCCACATAAACAGCAAAAATTAACTTGGGAAAGTTCTTGCCACAAATCAGTAGTAACTTAACACTTTCTTTAAGCATATACTCCATTTCAGAATTGGACTTCTTGCAGCGCAAAATAAAATAGATACTGTCTGCCCTCAAAGTTACCATGTTAGATTTTTAAAACTAATTTTGGAAAAAAATGAGGTGGTAATCTTAGTCTGAGCAAGAAGATTTGCTCAATTTTAGACCAACAACAAAAAAGCCAGAACTAGACTGAAGATCAAACAATTTCAAGCCTGATTTATAGTTTAAAAGCAGTTTGCTATGGTTCCAAAGGCTTCACTCACAATTCCAGCAAGTTACAAGCTCTGTGACCTTTCTGATGATAATCTGTCTGCTGTGCTTTCTCTCACTCACTTCACTCAAGGTGCATGCAATCATTTCAGAGGACTAAATTGAGAAACCACTGTGCAATATTAGCTAGAGCTCCAAAAAACAGTGTCCTATTTGTAGGGTATTAAAGAGAATTAAGTGATAGCGGGACTATCTAAGAGCAGAACATTGATCTCCCCGGACAAAAGGAACAGTGCAACTTTCGGCATAGGCGTTTCTGGAAGTCCAGCTCTGTGCCAGATTTAGGATACCTGGACTTCATTTTTTTATATCCTGCAAAGAAAGCCAGTATGGCATCCTGACTACTTCATTCCTTTAGTCTTCATGAGCTATGTACACTAACAGACTAGAGTGAATTAGAGTCTCTGATTGCTCAGAAATTATTCTCTCAGTTCAAGGATACCATTGACACTTTCTTCAGTCAGCCCCTTGAAATCAGTTCACCTGTAGTGATAATTCTGGCAGTAAGAGGAAGGGGTAAAATTTGACCTAAAGATGAAATATGAAAAAAGTTTGATTGCAGCTAGGAACTGGAAAGAGTTGACCTCACTTAAAGAATTATAAAAATCAACTGATGAATTAGACTTTTCCTTCTAGCAGCTTTTAGCTGTACTTAAGGGATGCAGTTATGAAGATTTTCTTTGTTGTTTTGAGCAGCAGAAAGTGCAGATGCAAAGCTTCCTTCACATGCACATGAAGTTACATCCACTTCAGTTTGACATTTTATGACAGTCTGAGCTGCATCCCCATCATAGCTCTTCACTGGGGACCTCTCGGGCAGAACACCATGTTTTCTTGCTAGTGTAATGTGACCAGTGCATTATTTCAGTTTTGATTCAATTTGGTGATTTATGTTTGTGTGCAATGTTGTCTTGTAATAACAGTCAGAATTTAAAAGCCAGACAGGCCAAAGGTTTGACTAGTTGACCTCAGGTTTTGTAATTCAGGGCAGTATCTCCTATACACTGCCTCCAGTACGCTCATGTGTAGAATATTTTACCGCTTGCAACAAAGGAAGGAGAATGTGCTAAATATAACTATGAGTGCCAAGGCATGAGTCACTACAATTATCTTCATCAGAACAATGAAATTGATTGTTGGGCTGTTTTCTTTCCTGTTGCATCTAAAGAACTTTTTGTTTTTTAATAGGAAAACATATTTGATCGATCTAGGATGGCCCCAAAGACCCCCATTAAGAATGAACCAGTTGATTTATCAAAGCAAAAAGGCTGCACTCCAGAAAGAAATCCAATTACACCTGTTAAGCTCATTGACAAACCTCAGCCTGATCCATGGACCCCAACTGCTAACCTGAAGATGCTTGTTAGTGCTGCTAGTCCTGACATGAGGGACAGGGAAAAGAAGAAAGAGCTCTTCAGACCCATAGAAAACAGTGAGCAGAGTGACACGCCTGATTCGTCACAGGTGAGACTCAACATGGTTACCGTATGTTCAGTTAGGACTCAGACCTTCCTTAAGTTGTGCCTCAGTTTTCTTCCAACTGGTCCTTTGCTCCCTAGGGAAAACTTGTAAAATATTCCCAAGGACTGTTGCTTACATAGCAGTGGCTGAGAAGTAGGACTTTGAAAGACTAAGTGACTGTCTTAATAGCAGCTGACCTGAGACCCCTCAAGAGCCTGAGTATTACTTCAGGAATTATTTCAGAACAGTGAAGGAAGTTTAAGAACATTAAGAATGCTTAAATGTGTAATTTTCCCCAACTGAAGTACTTTTGACGTTTTCCTCATTAGAACGAAAATTGACGGATCATTTTTAAACAGATGGGCAGCATTTTCAAAAGCAGCTTGACAATTGGAGGGCATCTTTTTCAATATACTTTTGAAATCTTATACTTTGTCCACAACAGCCCCACAGAGTGGTCCATTGAAACCTTTCTCCCGTTTTCCACCCCAGCCCCCAAACTATAGTCAGACAGCATGGTCAAGTGTTAATTTTTACTTGCCAAGACTCAGGCAATGCGGGGGCTGATCCCTGTCCTCACTTTAGGAAATCCATCCATGGATAGGATGACATCAGGTTGTAAAAAGCATTGTTACAGGTTTTGACCTTCAGCCTTTCTTTTCTTGTTGTTTCAACTACTGCCTTCCTTCTGAATTATTTCTTGTAGAATATCCTTGGTGATTTCAGTGAGAGGAAGATAGTTCTGTGAAGCATCATTTGATAGATACAGATCACTTTACAAGTGTAGAATTTACAGCATCTACAGTGACAATAGTCTGGAGAAATCTCCAGTTTAGATAGTCACAAAGCAAGAAACAGTTATCTAAAGATAATTCCTAGCGTACCTTCCAGTAAGTAAAAAATAGTCAATGTTAAAGGTTAGTTCATTACCACTCCAGGCCTACTGAGATCATGTAGCATATCTCGGGTGGCTCCTATGAAGATTTCAAATACTTTCTAGTTAATAAAACTTACACTTAATAATATTATCCACACAGAAAGTTAACTTACAAAAGTGGTACTGTAAGAATACTGCTATTTCCTTTCCATATAAAACTCAAAAGAATTCAATCAGAGCAACAGCCTTCTGCAAGGTCATTTAGTCACAACCAGCAAAGGACAGTTAAGATCTCATAAGCAAGGAAACTTGGGTTTCAGCAGTTGCCACCACACTCAGATTTTTTTTTTTTTTTGCCAGAGGATGAGATGACTTAATTTTCCTTTTTTGACACAGAAGCAAAACCCCAGTTACTGGTGCAGAAAAATCCTCCATCATTCTCATTTTGTAATAAACATACCTCTTCATACATTCTTGTCATCACGGTTTTGCTGGTTTTTTTTTTTTTCCTGCAGTGACAGAAAGACTGTATTCAAGCCATCCTACAGATTTCAGCTAAGCAAACAGCTGGACTGAATTTAAGGTTCAGAGTCTGGGTGGTGCCTTTTAAAGTCTCAGCATCATGCTCCCCACGCCTCTGTTATAGACGCACTCTAAAGTGCAGTAAAATCTCTTGAAAGAAGTTTTGCAGGAACTCTTTGATGGTTTGTATATCTTCTGGTTTATTAGATCCAGAGGTGTTTGAGGGAATATTCCTTCTCAAAAAGAAATATTCCTTCCAAGTCGGATCTTACTGTCTTCTAGTCTTGGATGTTTGGTCTTACTGTTTTGTTTCCTTATGCATAACTATTATTTTATGATCTCACAGATAAAAGATTTTCTGTAGCTATTATGTGTGATGAATTAAGAAGAACTTGCAAGCAAAGTATGTCACCCAAGTGCTCTGTGCTTGTAAGGAGTCCATGTTTTTTTCCTCATTAGAAAGTCTGAGCTTAGATAATGCTAACATCTGAAATACACCTAACTTGGCTATACCTTGCCTCTAAAGCTCTGCACTAAAGGGTTACCATTTATTTTTTAACAGTATGATATGGTAGACGACAGCACGGTTGATGAATTTGAAAAGCAGAGGCCCAGCAGAAAACAGAAAAGCTTAGGACTCTTGTGCCAAAAGTTTCTAGCTCGCTATCCAAGTTATCCATTGTCAACAGAAAAAACTACTATTTCTTTGGATGAAGTGGCTTCAATCCTTGGTATGTATACATGTAAAAATGGGGTAACCGATCACCTGAGCTAACCCAACAGGAGTGCCTTCAAAAGAGCATCCTTCTTACAGAGTGCATTCAAACTCTGCCTTTCCCTGGGCCTGACTAATCATACTAATCAAGAGCTGGAAATGCCTGGTATTCCTAAGTATCTTTACTGCTTGATAACACTACCATTTTGAAATCTGCTTTCTCACAGTACTTTTTACTAGACACATCTGTCCTCCAGCTGTTTACCGACTCTGCTGCTTTCTTAAATTTTCAACTTGCTGAACACTGAAAGAGTTACGAGTTACAAATCCTCTGAAGGAGGTCTTGTAAACAACAAATTTTGTCAAAATGGAACATTTGGGGAAAAAATTTCAAACTAGTAGGTGTAGGAAATCAGTTGGGTTTACTGCCTGACTTCAGTAATGTGCCTTA